CGGTTGCAAGTGCGAGGACCGGTTGTAGGTCCATTTTTTCAGCACTATGGCAACTTTGAACAGTCACTAAAGAGACCGTCGTAAGTGGGGGACTGCCTGCATGGTCCCTGGAAACATCTCACCTTCTTCTTTCCACCAGCACGAGGACGTCGTTCTCGAGGGCTGAAAAGCAAAAATAAGAATTAATTGAGGGCGAGACCCGCACCTTAATTAAGCTCCTTATTAATTGGCCTGCCAGATCCCACAGATCCCCTCAGAGGCAGATCCCACTGAGTTCAACGGGGATTCCTTCTCCGCTCTGTTTACAGCAGCCTCCCTGGATCCTGTCTGTCCCAAGGGGTTTTGGACTACAACTCCCATCCTTCCCAGGCAGAGGGGGGATGGCGCCAACCGTTTGGGGAGGACTGGAACGGTCACCTAACACATCTGGATGGGATCGAGGGGGAGGAGACAGATGTTTAGGGCTGCGGCCACCTCTGCGGCTCCATCAACACAGAGAGGTTGACGGATTGGTCCAGGGAAGGATCTGAACCCAGGCCAAAAGAGCGACAGGCAGATTCGCACTGGCGTCTTGGGGTCAAAGAAAGATAGAAAAAGCGAGCCATTATTTCGGAATTTGAAAAAGAGAATTGTATCCACGCTGTGACAATCCCGAAAGTCCCAAATAAAATAGATTAGATTAGATTAGATTAGATTAGATTAGATTAGATTAGATTAGATTAGATTAGATTGATGGATGGATGGAAATAGGATAGATAGATAGATAGATAGATAGATAGATAGATAGATAGATAGATAGATAGATAGATAGATAGATAGATAGATAGATAGATAGATAGATAGATAGATAGATAGATAGATAGATAGATAAAGATGGATGGATGGATATAGGATATAGATAGATGGATGGATGGATGGATGGATGGATAGATAGATGGATGAAGATGGATGGATGGATATAAGATATAGATAGATAGATAGATAGATAGATAGATAGATAGATAGATAGATAGATAGATGAAGATGGATGGATGGATGGATGGATGGATGGATGGATATAGGATATAGATAGATGATAGATAGATAGACAGACAGACAGACAGACAGACAGACAGATAGATGGATGAAGATGGATGGATGGATGAAGATAGGATAGACTGATAGGTAGATAGATAGATAGATAGATAGATAGATAGATAGATAGATAGATAGATAGATAGATAGGTAGGTAGGTAGGTAGGTAGGTAGGTAGGTAGGTAGGTAGGTAGGTAGGTAGACAGGTAGGTAGACAGGTAGGTAGATAGGTAGGTAGGTGGGTAGGTAGGTGGGTAGGCAGGTGGGTAGGCAGGTAGATAGGCAGGCAGGCAGGCAGACAGACAGACAGATAGATAGATGAAGATGGATGGATGGATATAGGATATAGATAGATGATAGATAGATAGACAGACAAACAGACAGACAGATAGATGGATGAAGATGGATGGATGGATGAAGATAGGATAGATAGGTAGATAGATAGGTAGATAGATAGATAGATAGATAGATAGATAGATAGATAGATAGACAGACAGACAGGTAGGTAGGTAGATAGGTAGGTAGGTAGGTAGGTGGGTGGGTGGGTAGGCAGGTAGATAGGCAGACAGGCAGACAGACAGACAGACAGACAGATAGATAATGGACAAATAAATACATTCGCTTTCTGGGTGCAATTGCAGGTCCCTTGGTAGAGTAGATCAGGGGCCTCCAAATTTGGCAACTTTAAGACTTATGGACTTGAACTCCCAGAATTCCCCAACCAGCTATTTATGCTGGCTGGGGAATTCTGGGAGTTGAAGTCCATAAGTCTCAAAGTTGCCAAAGTTTGGGGGCCTCCGGAGTGAAACAACGGCCGAGCAGGCTAGAAGCCCCCAATGAGCTGGGCCAGCTCCCCCTCCCCCCAGGCCACCGCAGGTCTTTTCCATCCAGGACCTGAGCCACCAGTGACCACGTCCCGTGGTCATTAAGTGAGTCGCCAACGGTCGTTAAGTGAGGCGAGGGTCCAGAGACAGTGGGGGGTGGGTGGGCAGATGTTCGGCCTTGGACTCACAGAGTTCTTGCAGCTTCCGCAGCTGGATGAGCTCCTCCCGGCCGCTGCCCTCCAGGAAGGCGTAGAGGCTGGAGCCCACCAGGGCGAACCAGCCCTCCTGCGCCCGCTCCAGGCTCAGGCCGCCCTTGTAGCGCAGGCGCCCCAGGCGCTCGAAGTCCCGGCCCAGGAGACCCTCGGCTGCCGGAGGGAGGGAGGCCTGCAGGGAGGGAGGGAGACATGGGGGGTGGGGGTGAGGGGCCGGCGTCTCCCCACCAGGAGACCCCCACCTGGGCGTGATGGAGAAAGACACCCCAGCCCTTCCCTCTTCCACCTTTGGAAGCGGTGTGGATGCGGTCACTAAGGGTCAAGGCCAACTTCTTCCCTTCCCTCCCTCTCTCCCTCCCTTCCCTCCTTCCTTTCCTTCCTTCCTTCTATCCCTCCTTCCCTTCCCCTCCCCTTCCTCAATCTTTCTCCCTTCCCTCCCTCTATTCCTCCTTCTTCCTTCCCTCCCTCTTCCCTCTATTTCCTTCCTCAATCTTTCTCCCTCCCTCCCTTCTCTCCCTATTCACTCCCTCTATTCCTCTTTTTCCTTCCTTCCTTCTATTCCTCCTTCCCTCCTCTTCCCTCCTTCCCTCCATTCCCTTCCTAAATCTTTCTCATTCCCTTCCTTCCTTCCCTCTTTTCCTTCCTTCCTTCCTTCCTTCCTTCCTTCCTTCCTTCCTTCCTTCCTTCCTTCCTTCCTTCCTTCTATCCTTCCC